AAATCAACATCCTTCACAATATGACCTTTTTCAGTACGCCTTGGAGTTGGAGAATATCAATGACATTGTCCGTGATATCCTGGACCGGAAAACCTCTGTCTGGGATCCTTTCTTTTCCAGGTGTGTCTCTAAGATCAGTGAGGAAATGAGTCTCCCCGAATCTCGAGGAGCGACAGGTAGGGTCCCAGGGGTTGCCTGTGTCGTGTCTCCTGTGCTTACACCAACGGGGACCTCAAGTGATGGGGCTTCTCCCTTCTGCGAGTCTTCCCAGGGATGCATTTCCTTTCCCTCAGCCTCGGAGGAGCCTTTGGCAGGAAGCCCATTTCCCTCACAGAGTGCTTTAAAGTCTCGGTTGGTGAATGTCCCCTTTGCTGAGTTCCATGGAAGAGAAGCTTCATTGTGGGATCTGCTGCATTCTCAGTACATTTCCGAGGAGAAAAGGAAGGAGCTGCTGCACCTCTATCGGTTGGGTGATCTCACCCTTGATCAGATGGCATCTGCGGTGACCCACATCATGCACCCAGGAGAGGGGGGGGAAGAGAGTCCCAGTGGGGACTGGTCAGCCAGCAGCAGCCCTGATTCCACAGTGGCAGAAGACGGTGCATCCCAGGCTCGGCATCTGCAATTGAAGAAGACTTTGAGGACCACTCTGGTCCCCGTGACGGTGGGAGAATATAAGGGGCAGCGCCTGTGTGTCCTGGATCTCCTCTTCTCTAAGTACGTCCCTCAGGATAACAGGCAGGAGCTCCTTGAACTGTACCGGGCAGGGACTTTACCCCTCGAGGACATGATAAGCACAATCACTGGCCTGCTGGAAGAGGCGGAAAGCCAGCAGGAGAAGCGAGAGACCCAGAAAAGGACTGGGCGCCGAAAAGAGAGGCAGGACCCAGGGGGTGACCTGTAAGCAAGGGGGGCATCAGCCTAGGCTCCTCTGCCCCCCCCCCCTGCCAAGCGCAGCCTCTCTGGCTGCCATCCCTTTGGCCTCTCCCTCCTCTGCTGCTGCATCTGCCTGGGTGGGCAGTGGGATTTCTTCCTGAGGTTGCCAGGGAATGCTGTTCAGCCCTCTCATTGCACACACACACACACACACGCACGCACACACACACACACACACACACACACACAGAGAGAGAGAGTTCCTGGGACTTTGGTTTTCTAGAACCTAGATACCTTTGAAAGCGCAGGAGAACAAAATGATCACCCCTGCTCGGAACTGCTGACAGGGCTGGGGAACCACTTGGGCAGCCCCAGAGATGGGAGGGTTCGGGGTGGATCCTATCCTCCAGTAGAGGACTGGGGAGGGGCAAAGGGGGGGGGGCTTATCTGGCTATGACTCTAATTCTGCTGCAACTGACTAGCTACATGAAACTCGGTTAGTGGAAGTGGTCTGTTTCTATTGGCAATAAAAAGAAAGAAAATGTGTTAAAGTTGCTTTGACTGCCTTGGAATTTGTGCCAGATCCAGGCTGGTTCCCTAGACTGGCTAAATGGGGGGACAAGCGGAGGTATGGGGGTATTTTCTATCTGGTTGATGCATTTCAGTGGTGGATCGTTGCCTCTGGGGCGCATGAAGTCCCAGCCTCCTAAAACACAAAGCCTAAACCCTAACTTAGACTACAAAATGGAGCCCCCCCACCGTTGGAAATGAATCCAAATAACAAAACTTGGATTGGTGAAAACACAGAGATTTTATTTGTTAAGCTGTTTGCAAAGAGCAGTAGGATCTCAGCTGATCTCAACATAAAGTTTGAGCCAAGAACCACACCTCAAGATTTCAATACGTTACATTTTATAGTTTTTCTATCCTGACAACCCCCCACCCCCACCCCTCCTACATCAACCCAGTGACCGAGCACAGCTAATCCAAAACGCCTTATGGAGACCACATCGTCTCCTTCAACACCTCCCAATGACCTCCCATCACACATTTTGTGAACATGGCTTTTTCTTATCTTTCTTGGCATTAAGGAATGTCCCTTCAGCAGGGCCTCCTTCTAATGGTCTGAGAACAAAGAAATATCTATTCCTAACACCACGCTTGTTACATATTAATGTTACATCCAGCACATCTTCTTAGAACAACATAAAGATTATATGCATCTCTAACATATTCACCTATGCAAAGTAAAGGTCTTGTAAATTTAAGCAGATGCTTTGAAGAACAAAATCTAACTTCAATTGATTAAAGAAAGTTAGGGCAATGTTTGTAAATGCATTAGAAAATATATTTACAGCAGGATTAAATCAGGATAGCAAATGTCTATAGAGCAACTGTCTTCTGAATGCTATAATATACTATTCTCTTCACCTACATTTTATTTTTGAATTTTCTTATTTCTAACACCCCCAGTGGTTAAACTCCGCCCACAGCATATTTAATAAGGACGGAGCAGCTTGGCCATGTCTTCCCATGCCAGCAGCCCCTCTCTCTGGGGTCTCCGTGAGTTCTTTAGCAAATTGTTCTGACCTACATGCAAAGTTTGCTCTCCCCTGAGCTACAGGCATCTCCTCCTCCTCCTCCTCTTCCTCTTCCTCCTCTGAGCTACACCCAGCTTCTTCAAAGGTTTACCACCCACCGAGTGGAGCCCACCTTCTCCGAGATGCTTTGGAGAAATTTTTGCTCTACATCAGCCAGAGGAGATAAGTGGCTTTGGTCAAGATTTTAGCCAAGCCCTTCTATGCGTTTGTTTGTCTGTTTATATCCTGCTGTTATTATTTTTATAAATAACTCAAGCTGGTGAATGTAGTAAATCCTCCTTCTCCCCTCTACTTTCCCCACCACAACAACCCTCTGAGGGGCGGGGAGGGACTGGGCCAAAGTCACCCAGCCGGCTTGAGGGTTTAAGGCAGGATCAGAACTCCCAAAGCTCTTTACAAAGAAGGGATGCGCTGAATCCCTCTCAAAACAATCCACCAGGATTAAGGCACGAGGAGAGGGTTTTTTTTCTGAGCCAATGCAAGGTCCAAGCAGAGAGAATGAACACAACCTATCAACCCCCCTGGAGAGGCAACAGCTGGGGAGTTTGTTAAGAAAGAGGGGAAGGGAGGAATGGAGGGAGCGATTGGACTTTGCTGTTTGTTTTGCATGTCTTTTCCTATTTTTTGTTTGCTTTGTTACCATAGGTTTTGCATTTGCAATGTGCAATCAAGTGGAACCCAACTACAGAAGCCGGGTCAAGCTGAGCATTAACAAAGCACCTGGTTTAGTGGGAGGGGCAGTGGGGGGGGGGCCCTTTGGCTAACAACCCACCACAGAATCCCCTGGGAACTCACCAAAGTTCACCTCCTGTCCAAATGGGTTGGGGGAGGGGCACGTGGATGACAGGAAGACCATGGGGCACTTTGGGCAGAGAGGCAAAACACTCAAAAGGGCCATTTTCTCTTCCCTTCGGCACATGTGGGACCGAAGGGATTTTGGAGGAATGAGAGTTGTAAGCCAGATTCTCTGAATACCAGCCGCTCAAGTGATACGCCTGAAATATTTTGCTGTATAGATCTATAAGACTGCTTGCACCAGCAATAGCAACGCTACAACTCCAAAAGCTTTAACCTTAGACCAGTGGTAGTCAACCTGGTCCCTACCGTCCACTAGTGGGCGTTCCAGCTTTCATGGTGGGCGGTAGGGGGTTTGTCCCCTACTTTATAAATCACCATTACTGTGGAACTGGTGGGCGGTTAAAGAAAACTTTACTACTAACAGAGATACAAAAGTGGGCGGTAGGTATAAAAAGGTTGACTACCCCTACCTTAGACTGTCTACTATTGACCTCCCCCCTTTCCTAAGAGGCCTGTAGGGGGCCTGCATAAGCGCACCAACGTGCCTACCGTCCCTGTCCTATTGTTTCTTTTTATTTTTCTTATATGTATCCATTTCATGTATTCATAACCATGAAACATAAACACAGTTGAGAAAGTCCAGAAATATTTCACAAGAAGAGTTCTCCACTCCTCTACTCGTTGCAGAATACCTTATGCCACCAGACTTGAAATTCTAGACCTAGAAAACCTAGAACTACGCCACCTTTGGTCCGATCTAAGTATAGTATATAAAATCATACATTGCAATGTCCTACCTGTCAATGAATACTTCAGCTTCAACCATAACAACACAAGAGCACACAATAGATACACACTCAAGGTAAACAGCACCAAACTTGATTGCAGGAAATACAACTTCAGCAACAGAGTGGTCAATGTCTGGAATACTCTACCTGACTCTGTGGTTTCTTCCCCAAACCCCAAAAACTTTTAACCTTAAACTGTCTACTATTGACCTCACCCCCTTCCTAAGAGGTCTGTAGGGGGTGTGCATAAGTGCACCAACATGCCTACAGTCCCTGTCCTATTGTTTCTTTTATTTTTCTTATATGTATCCATTTCAAGTATTCATAGCCATGCTTATACTTATACCTGTTATCTTATAATCACTTGACAAAATAAATGAAATAAATAAAAATAAAAATATTGGGATAGACAAATAGTCACCTTCACAGAGGAGCTCTGTATTTCTTCATTTGCAAAGGATACGGTCCTTATTTTGTCAAATCCAATACATTTGGCCAAGCAAATCCAATACTGCTGTTAATATTAAATTTATTTGCAGAAGGTGCAATACTTACTCTTTACATGAGTATATAATAATCTTTAAATAATATAATAATAACCTTTAATGAGTATAAAAATCTTTAAAAGTCCGTATTGTAGCAGGCCTATTAATTAATCACTTAAAATAATTAAACCAGGCTGGGAGGAAGCAGAGGGAGGAGATCCCACAGTCCCCTAATTAAAGCCCTGCTTGCATCCAGGGAAACTGAGGCCTGGGAAGTCACAGCTACCCTCACCCACCCTGGGCTGCAGAGGTGAAGCCTCCCCTGGACCAGAGATGGCAGCCCCCAGCAGGCTGCTCTCTTAGCTCAGCTGGGGGATCCCAGCCACCCCTCTGCTCAGCTCAGCCTTCCAGGGAAGGAGGCGGGGCTACTGGGGCTCGGTCAGCCCCTCTGACACAAATGCCAGCCCCCTTTGGCATTGCCCTGGGGAATAACAGGGTTCTGAAGGGACCTTCGGGTCCTCTAGTCCAGGGGTCCCCAACCAACGGGCCCCGGACTGGTACCGGTCCGTGGATCACTTTGTACC